TTTTTTGGGTATAATATCTGGCAAAAGACTGAACGATAATTTTAATCGAATGAAGTCCATTTAAAACGATCACTACAACAAAAAAACCAAATTTAATTTGGTATAATGCTCAACAACTTTTTTTCCCCGATTTTACAAATTATGCTGTTATATTAAAATGTTATACCTTCTGTATAACAAGTTTTAACTTCTTAACTTTAAGCTTAACCACGCTCGCTCACAGTTCAATTGATTAACTAAACAGAACATCACTTTAACAACAAAGTAATACACTATACAGCCGTCAACTCAGTGGCTGATTACTAACACAGTCAACGCGTCCACGACTAAGACATAAGAGCAGGACACATCGCCTGGACACCGGACACCACTCTTATCCCAGCACATCTGCACTACAACGTGACGTCACAGCAATATCGCAATACGTGTCTAAGCAGACTTCAGCAAAGAGGACACTTCGATTCTAGCACGGGAGATTTGCCACGGACTTTACTGAGTTACTGAATAGACTCTTTACTCCCATCTTTATCGTCTTGATATTATACTAATTGTCAACGTTACTTTTATTCGTATTTTATCCAACTGTTTTAATTGTTCAACGTTAGACAGGACCTAAAACTAATACTAATAGCCTATAAACGGGTCATTTATAATAAAAATAATTGAAAATAAAGAATTGTTTATAATATGAAAGTTGTATGTAATTCTTGACGGATGTTACTCGTCTAAATTTCTTCGAAGTAGCGCGCGCCGCTTTCTTCTCGAAATGTTATGGCCCGATGGCAAGTGCTACTAAGTAGCGCGCGGGCCAGATCATTAACAACGGTCAAATGTAATTCTTATTATGATTATCGACAATAAAACAGTCAAGCAGGTAATCATCATGATCAGAGTTAACGCTTTACTTTGACGGATGTTACTCGTCTAAATTCCTTCGAAGTAGCGCGCGTTGACGGATGTTAATCGTCTAAATTTCTTCGAAGTAGCGCGCGCCGCTTTCTTCTCGAAATCGATGGCACGAGCTACGAAATAGCGCGCGCCGGGCCAGATCATTAACCATAAACAATGGTCAACGCTATACTTTGCCATTAAATTCCAACTTATGAATAATAATCGAAGAAAGTCCATTATACAAAATCAATATCAAAGTTTGAGTATCAAGAAAACTTAACAATATCGATAAACTCACTAACAAATAATTAAAATTAGTATTATAATAAGGGCCTGTCGTGATAAACGGATTAAACGGATTAAACGGATTAAACAATTCAAAAGTCAAATTACAATGGTAATAGGGGGTGCACGCTAAAAATAAACTTGCTCGGATTTAAAAAATTTTTGTACCACTGTTTTCTAGAGATTGTGAGAATTTTCACAATACCAAATTTGTTATACCTTTTTGGAAAGATCAGTGAGTTCCGCCTAGGTGCCATATTTGATGGTGCGCGGCTTTTGGAGCAAAAGTAGCTGTAAAAGTCGCGTAATTTGACCAGATTCGTCCAAATTTGACCATTTATGTCGTATTATTCGGATTTATCTTCAGTTCCTTAAATGAGATCATTTTGGAAATTGGCGACGACCTTCCAATTGGGCTTTCACAACTGTCCGAAAAATTTGGTGGATATCGGAGTTGATATAGTAATCAAAATGGGGCAAAATACGCTGCTTTTAGCTGTTACATAATGTCTGATGGTTGGATATGCTTTAAATTTTTCGGACACTTTTCTTGTAAGTCTATGAGTAAGCTTACCAATTTTTGTTGCAATTGGAGGTCGGGAAGGATACCCAATATCTATTTTTTTGAAGAAAATTGTGCTGGCCGAAATTAGCGCTAAAAAACCATCCTACAGTCGGCACGCGCGGCTCACTGTCGATGGCGCACTACCTAATGGTAATGTCTGACCAGATATAAAAAATTAAATTTACCCAAAAGTCATAAAGTATACAATATATACAATGAACCCTGTAAATCTTAAGAGTGAGATTCAAAATACTTAATAATTTAACTGAACTTTTCTGAAAGTGTTCCGAGTCAAAGATTATAATTTGGCAATATTGTTAATGTTAGGAATTTGTTTGGAGGACGCTTTAGGGAATCTTCGTTCATGAGCTTTGGTAAGGAACCTTCCTAGGTCTCCGATGGTTGAAGGGTGTGCGAAGATCTGTCCAATGTCAGAGAAGAGTAATGTTTTACTTTGTTGGGACAAACAGTGGCGGAGATCTTCATAGAGAGGGCAAGTACGCAATACATGAAGTTCATCTTCGATGATTGGATCAGGGAAAGGAAGCTCTAGAAGAAGATCGAGTGACTCCGCATCTGTAGTGGAACAGTGTTTGCATGCCCTATTCGAAAGTTTATGTCGATGCATGCCATGTCTTCCAGTTTCGATGTTGTATTGATGCGAGCTTGTTCTGAGTTGCGCAAGTCTCCTAGTCTGCTGTGGCCGTAGGTTGATCGACAGGTATGTTTCGCAACCGAAGCTTGCCTTGATGAGGTTGTAGAATCCTAGTTTTCTGTTGAGTTTTCGCTCTTTGTTCCATTGTTGAACGAAAAGGGTTTTCATCGCCTCGCTGATTTCGAGCGGGTTTGAGATATCACTTCCTCCTGTCAGTTGTTTCACTGTGTTCTTGGTGGATTCCAGCCGGGAGAACCATAACAGATTCAGATCCCTCTCCCTCTGTAATGGAAGTGGTGTATCTGCGAGGGATGTAGCGTTTTCTTTGATTAAATTTTGGAGAGCTAGAGGGGGAGTTTCATCGGACTGAAGCATCTCCTTCGTAGGCGAGGGTTCAGAAGCAGAGATGGACAACAATATACCCTTTGATTCACCACTTGAGGATTTCGGTTTTTTTCCGTTAGCTGCTCGTCAGCTCGTGAGATCATCACATATTGATTTTTTATAGGGAAGTTTTTAGCTTGGACTTGGAGAAGAGTTCGACCCCTGGGGCCAATTAATTTGCTGTTAATTTTGACTTCTCTGCTTGGTAATCCTGACCATGTGTGGACAGTAGTAATACCAAACAACTCTTTTTTTCGAATTTACAAATTATACTGTTAAAATAATACTCCATTGAAAAAAATAAGTATAACACAAAATCAAACTTAAAATTAAATCATAGCATAATTATACTTGACAACTTTTTTCCCCCGATTTACTGCACGAAGTGGTGACTAAGTTGTTTGCATGTTATTGTAGGAAAGTAACTGAAACCAGTGTAGTTAAAACGTTAATGATAAGGTTAAAATAATATCAGAACAGGGCGAGAGTAATATAAAATGACACTTACGTTTGACAGTGTACCACACCACCGGTTACTAAATAAGGTAAAGAATTTTGGGATTCCCGAGGATATTATTGATACCATTGAGAACTTTTTAGTTGGGAGGTCCATGAGAGTAAAAGTAGGTGATGAATTTTCTGAAATAAAATTTACACTCTCAGGAGTGCCACAGGGCAGTGTTTTACTTCGCTCATTTTATTATTTGTTAATGATCTTCCAGAAGGGATTAAAAGTATAATTAAACTATTTGCTGACGACGTTAACAGTAAAAATGATTGTTAACCCTATTTATAATTTATCAGCTGATTTACTGCTTTTAGAACTTTGGGAATCCAATTGGTGTTTAAAATTTAACGTAGATAAATGAATGGTCATGCAAATTGGCTCTGGTAGTGGTAATCCTAAGAATCAGAACTTGCAGTTGTTCGGTGGTGTGCCTTTGAGGTCTTTAACAGTGCTTTTAAATTTGAAGATCACGTGAGAAAGTGCATTGCCAAAGCTAATAGAACCATTGCCTGGCTTACAAGAAATATTATATCGAGGGAAACAAGCGTTATGCTGGGCTTGTATAAGTCACTGGTAAAGCCTCATATAGTCATAGAGTATTGTTCGCAGGCATGGGCTCCAATGGCAAGGCATGGAAACTGGTCACTGATCCTTGAATTGGAAGGTGTTCAGAGATCATTCACCCGTATGATCGATGGATTGGGCCTCATGACCTACAGAGAGACTGGATAACTTGAAGCTCACAACCTTGCTTGAACGTAGGGTCCGTGGGGATCTCATTGAGAAGGCTTTATGGATTATGAGTCTGATCTATTTGGTCGTGCTGGTAGGACTGTCTCTGCTAGGTCGAAGCCACACAGATTTACGACGAATGAGACTGACTTCTTTGCCCAAAGGGTCTTGCGCTACTGGAACAGTCTACCACCACTTATGAAAGCTAGTGAGTCGGTTACTGGATTCAAAAGTGGATTAGACGCCTTTCGGCTTCATGGATATCAGGCTAATAAGCTTGGCTACTACTGGGAACTGTAATATGACATCTTTGATAGGATAGATGAGTCAGTGTCTAATAGGAATAATTATATAAGTTATATGAAATTGAATCCAATGATAGCTAATAGCTATAAGACTAAGAGGAAGAAGGTTAATATCAAAGGTGTTTAGTTGAATTTTTTAAAAAAATTTGTAATTATATGGTTTTAAACTTAAATCGTTCATTTTTTGTGAATGTCTTGTTGAGATGCCCAGAGAGGCATTAGTTATTATGTTATGTTATGTTAAAAACTGCGAGGCAAGGTCATAGTGATCATGGTGTTAAAACTTGAGTACTTTAACTTACTGTTATGTAAATTGAATACAGAGTGAATGTGACTGAGAAGTGATTATATTTGTCCTAGTAGTAGTACTAATAAGCTAATATAGTAATCGGCTACACAGTACACACATATCTACGTGCCATATGTAGGGACACACATGACACACTAAAATTAATGGAAATAATTACCGGACTTTATTATTCACGGACCTTAATGCAACAGACATTATTGTCACGGACTTAATTATTCACGCTAAGGTCATTAGCGTGAAATTAATGTCCGTGACTATTATGTCCGATAAGATAGTTGATCTCGACGACGGTCAATATTTGGAACACATATCTTACGAGTATCACTTGTTAAATGAATCCTTCCCATTCCATTATATCTCAATACCTAGCTGAAGTTGGCGTACAAGTCATCCTGCTGCAAGGTGTGTCCTCTTTCTGGGAGAGTAGGTTTGGCAACTTCACTGCAACTTCCACCTTTCTTTTGACTGGTCGAAGGCTCAGCTTGGTACACCATCTGTATATCTTCCATCATGATCCTTGCTCGTCTTTCCCTCCACGTGAAAATAATATTTCCTATGACCATGGTAATTATGATCACGGAGAGCGCTATGAACACCATTGACAGAATGTCAGCAGACTTTTGGCAGATGGTTTTATTTTTGGACGGTGAAGTTCCTTCTGGACAGATGCTGCAAGTAGCCCCGTTTCCAACGTGATTTTCTGGACATTCAGTACAGGCATGGTTCTCCCAGGAGTATCCTTTAGGACAAGAAGAGCATTCAGAAGATTGGGACTCAGATACTGTGAAGATAGGGCACTTTGAGCAGACGGAGAAGAACTGTCCACTGTAGTGGTTTGTGGGACAGGGTTCACACTGGCTACTGTCCTCACTCCAGTATGTTCCGGCTAAGCAGTTACACACTCCACTACTGCTACCTGGAGAAGTGCAGTTCACACAGCTTTCTCCATCCCAAGATAGTCCACTTGGACAGTGACACTCTTCAGAGAGAGGGAGGGAGGTGGCTTCGTGAGGACATCTCCTGCAAGTACCTTGTTGTCTGTCTTTGAAGAAGTTTGCAGTACAGACTTTACAAGATCCATCCCCGCTGGAGTTCCATCCCCATCCATACCCCTTCTCACAGCTGCAAACTTTTCCATTGTTGATTGGCACTGATCCAGCAAGACAACTCACACAGTCACTCGGGGCCGTTCCTCCTTCCTTGCTGACGGTACCACTTGAACATGGCACACAGCTGCCGAGGTTAGAGTAGAGGTAAGTGCCAGCGACACAGGTGCAGTGTGCTGATCCTTTAACAGAAGTAGAATTTTCCGGGCATTCCAGACATTCATCTCCGTCAGGACTTATGTAGGTGTCATCATTGCAGGAGCAGTAGGTAGATCCAGCGAGGGAAGTGGAGTTGGTAGGACAGGAGAGACAGGAAGACGCTTCACTAATCACTAGAGCACTAGGTTCGGGGGAGTAGGTATTGGCTGAGCATTGTTCACACTTGTTGCTGTTTGGACGAGACGAGCTTGTAGTTGTTGTATTTTGGGAGAGCACACCATAGCCAGACGTCGTTGTCGTGAGTTTCTCCAGTGGTGTCTGTTCCGTAGACACACAGCGGAAACACGTCCTCACTTTCCAAACAATTTAAGTCGTTATACATGATTGTTAGACTTTCTTGAAATTGGTATTTCCTACCAATGTTCCAGCTCATGACTTTGTCGTACCCCATGATACGACAAATCAACTCCGCGGTCGTTTCATCAAACTTGTTGCCACTTACCGTCCCTCCGTTGTACATGAGAAGACCGTGCCCTTTTTGAGTGTCCTGTTTGTCTTTGTTGTAAGAAACCCCGATTGGTGATAAGATGCCAGTATATTACAGTATTCACGCCGAATGCTCGTGATACTTCGCTTATACAGTGCCCATCGGAGACGTAATCATTATACGTGGCCTTAAACTTCTACCCCGTTCCAGTATCTTCTAGAACAAGTTTTCCCGCTCTGACCGTTGGCGATGTCCAACTACCTTATCTACTCAACGTACCAATTCCCATGGAACGGAGCTCCGACCGCCCCACGATGATAGTCCGCCCCTAATTAACTGGAAATCGGAGACGGAATCAAGGGAACTTGGCATTGGACCCGGGGTTAGACGCGCCGAGATGCAGAGATCCAGATCACTTCTCTTACAGGCATTTACGCGACGCAGCTCAGCTCCCGCAGAGTTCAGCCCCCACGGACCCTGGATCTAGAGGACCACGCCGCTATCGCAGATCTCAGGATGCCGACTAGGAGAACTCATACCTCGGATTAGCTCTCAGCAGTTGCAGAAGGACCTCGCTACTTCAGATGCCGGCCCGTCCGGAGACTTCTCTCCTGCTAACGCTACTTCCCTATCGACAACTGGGTGAGTACTCCTAGAGTGGCCTTAGACTATAACGTGTTAAATTATTCTATCGCTAACGAATGCTATATATATCCAATGCTTAGTTTATTTACCTTGATGTCAGAAGCTCCATTCTGGCCCCTTAAATAAGTGTACTTCACTAGACTTAAAACATACAAGTACGTGACCCACGAGTCACTAGCACAGGAGCAGTCCTGTGCTATAATTATCATTGACAGTGTTAAGACTGGGAGCCCTCGCGGTTCCCAGCATATAATCGTGGTGCAGGTGGTAATGCACCAGTCCATTGAGGTTGGGTGTCACTATATTAGTGGAACTGTACGATCCCTGACCCTGGTGAGACCTGAAGGAGGATATGGTCGAGGTAAGTGATAGCCCGCATCTCCTGGCTAATCAGGCATGATCATATTTCGAGAGCAGTAGGTACGCTCTCGTGGAGCCTATAATAAGTATCCTGACCTAGGTTTTATTAGTGTGTTTCGGTCCACCCCTTTGTGGATATTATCGTTTCAACTGAGCGTTGTGTCTTACAAATTGGAAGCCGCATACGGGACCCAACTTTAGTGGTCAGGCAGTATTGCATACCGTACCAGTTTTATAACAAACCATCCACTGTCTTAAACGAAAGATGATACTTAGTATGCTAAGCCTTTTACACACATAATAGTAAGAACACGTGTCTAACATTTAAAAAGATTATAACAATATCTTCCCCGCATATTATACTGGAGAGACGCTGACGCCTGTCCGTTCTAAAAGAAGTACAGTACCGACACCGGACGAAACTCGCCGCTTTCTCAACACGCTGCACAACGCCACGGATCCCCCTGTCCTGACGAGAACTGGGAGAAACAGGTCCGTGTATTTAATATTTTAAACGCCGAAAATATCGATAATAAAATCCCGATTTATGGATGTTAACGTTAAAAGGTCTGGCAAACCATCGCTTTCTATAAAAGGGTTGTTTCTTAAAATATTAACCATGTACGAAAGAAATATTATATACACTGAAAGAGTGCAGGCACTTTGCCTCGGAACGGGCAGTTCCAAATCTTGAGAAGGGTTAACATTAAAAGTTTGACTGTCCAGTCGCCCGTCATAGCGAAGTGACGTCAGTTAGATTAAAAACTTAATATTTTACCGCCCTTCGGAGAAGGGAGGAGATGCGTCCAATATATTTTGTAGTTAGATTCATGTCACAATCAACTTAGCGTTACTTTGGTTACCCTCACGATCACGAAACTCACAAACGACAAACCGCATGACATTCACTAGTAACCAAAGTAACGAAAAATGTGTTTAAGGAAATTAAAAAGAACCTGGATATTAAACTGCTGTCATGCCAACCCTTGCCGATTTTTGCTGTGTACGCTCAGCATTATGAATTTCGTCAGGGTCTAAAATTTCCGTCCTTCGAACCGTTACGTTTGAAGACCACCAAAAATGGCATCACGTGACACAAGTTAATTGATAGGAGCTAGAACGTAATCATTCACGGGCCATTCCAAATAAGGGGGGACAGACTCCAATAGTCGATTTTAACGTACCTGATTATTTTTGTACGCGAGAAAAATTATTGTGCGGGTATATTTCGTAGTGTAAGCACGTTTTAAGGAGTCGAAGGACATTATGAAAGTTGAAGAAGGTGGCCTAATGGTAAAACAGCTCAATATGAAGCTAGAGGTGTTAAACGGTCGAGCGGCGCTCGTAAATGTCCTCAACGGAGTTACATTTAAAAATAAACACGCATAACCACGGTCGAGCTGTGACTCGTTAATTATATTGACCAGGCACATTCGGCGCTAAGATAGCAGCCCATTCGTAATTATCGCTCAATTACCACCTCTCTAGTTAAAGTGCAACTACTCAATCGCCAAAAGGCACCTTCTGATCTTAGTAAGAATGTTCTATCGACACGGTAGAATGTAGGAGCTAGATTATAACGAGGTGGAATATCGTAACCACCTTCCGCCTAGAACCTGGGTCACCGAGACCAAGTATTATCGCGGTTTTTGTGGCAGAAAATTCCAATATTTAAAATAAATGACTTTCTCCCGCCCAAATTACTTCACCTGTATCGATTTATTCCTACACTCCTACTGGGTCCCCACTTTCAGTGAACTACCACTTTCAGATCCCTAGAAATCTCATCACATTCGAGGTAGGAGCGCGAGTTCTCAGAAATATATTATTTCCCCGTATTTGTAGAACCACTAGGTAATTATAGTAAGGGGAAAAGTGGCATTCCGTTGGATTCGAATGTTCACAAGGATTTCTCAACGGAATATGGTAGTTAGGACCCCTACGAACATAATTAGACTTGTTGCCAATTTTGTATCTCAACGGAAACACCACTTTTACCACTTTTTACCACCTTTGTACCACCTTTCTGGTTTGCCAAATATCTTTAGTTGTGAACATCATAGAAGGCTGCAAATTAACCTAGAATGTTTATCTTATCAAGGAGTAAAACTTTTGTATCAAAAGTTTTTACATCGGACAATCAGCTAATTGGATAATTACCAATTAGTTAATCACCAAAAAAAGTGAAAAAATTTTTATTGGCTTAAAATGATTGAAATCGTTTGAAACACGGAGAAATGTAGTTTTTAGAAAAACTTCAAAAATTTTTCACTTAAAATTTTTTTTCGAGACTTGAAAAAAAAGTTTGAAAATTTGAAAATATTTTTTTCCGCCAAAAGTGATCGAATTGCATGAAACGTGGATAAAAATGCTTTGCAGAAAAACTTGGAAGATTTTTAGATTGGGGAATACTAAAATCATCAATATTTGAAGTTGGAGTTCAGTAAATCTCGACATATTTTAGTAATTAGGAATAGCTTAGCGGAAAGGGCTGGACCTGAAAAAGGTTAACCACACAATATTAGAGTTTCATAACTAATTACAATACAGCTTTATCAAATTCCACATAAAGAAACAGCACAAAAGGACCATTTAAGATCGAACCGATTTTACCTGCTGTACTATCATTTTATTGATTTCAATGATCAAAACCTCTGTCAATCTTGCCAATCTATACCGGGTATCTGAATGTACCGGACCTCTTATTTACCTCTATAATTAGACCCAGTTGTGCAAGAAATGCGATTTCTCACAGGGGTTTCTTTAAACTGTGCACTTTTTATCACTCTCGCAACTCGCAAGAGGCCTGGTATTATAGGAAGCGAGGTAAATATACCTTCCATCATCCATTGTGGCTTTTTTGTATTGTGAATGCGCATGCCGCTTCGTTTGCTATGCCATATACCTCGAATAACCCCCATATGTCATTGCCAGGGTCGGGATAGAGCTGGAGATAGCATTGAAAAGTTGCTAGAAATAGCTAGATTTAGAGTAAACTGGTGGTAGCTGGGTGGTGCTAGCATGGATGTAGCAGAACGTAGCTACACGGGGTTTCATTGGAGTTGGTTATTTTAATGGCCAAAGAGTGCCGGAACTAAAGTTACTTAAGATTGCAGTTTAGGGGCAGTGTAAACCACGGTGTAGTCAGGGACACAGAGCTACAGTGCAGGAGTACTGCAAAAGAACAGTGCAAGTGATACAGTCTGCAACAGTAAAACTCCGAAGAAGGAGATAAGATTGTGGCTGCAGAGGAGGAGAGTAGCTGGAACCTGATTGTGTTTGTGTTGAAAGAAGAGGAGGAAGAAGAGTTTCCTGCTCTGGTAACTGTATTTTTGGAAGAGGTGGGGTGAGAACTTATTTTCAAGCGACAAGGGTGGGCTGGAAGCAACCAGATACAGCTATCCGACCTATTAAGATCACCGTCCTGAGCTTAACAGCATTTCATCAGAATCTTATGAAAACAGAGAGACTGACCCACCCTTTTTAGATCCAACGAAACCCTTTATATAAATCGACTTTTCTGCATGAATTACTTCATGGTATCTTCTTATCAAGGCTACAGACCTTGCCGTACCGGATTTATTGATCAAAGTGAGTCTCTTTAGCCCTCTTCTTCTTTAGAGCTTTAGGTTAGTGATCAAACTCTTCGCTACTCGCTCTTCACTGGATCTATCAGGACAGATTCACATCTTTTTAGGTCTCAACCAGCCTTAGTTTTCCTGTTTTCATCATGTAGTACGTTCTGCTACCTCCATTTTAGCACCACCCAGCTTCCATCAGTTCACTCTAAGTCTAGCTTCGTCGGCGTTTTACTGTTGCAGACTGTATCACTTGCACTGTTCTATTGCAGTACTCCTGCACTGTAGCTCTGTGTCCCTGACTACACCGTGGTTTACACTGCCCCTAAACTGCAATCTTAAGTAACTTTAGTTCCGGCACTCTTTGGCCATTAAAATAACCAACTCCAATGAAACCCCGTGTAGCTACGTTCTGCTACATCCATGCTAGCACCACCCAGCTACCACCAG